TTTGTTTGCATAATTCCAATTTGGGACTCGCGTAATTTGGAAGAATTGTTTGAAAGAAACTCGAGCATTTGAATAAACAAACTAAAGGAATAGAAATTTCTAAATTTATGAAGGGTGATTTATTTACGAATGCAATATTTTTTCGTCGCAACTAGATTGCTTCAGATGTTTCATCTTTGGTAAGTGAAATTTGTTTGTGAAAGACAAAAATGTAAATTTTGAGAGACTTCATACACAAACTAATTTTTGCAATTTAACTAATAGTTAAGTGTTTTTAATTGTTTGTAAAGTCAATGGAACTATAGAAGATAGGTCAATAAAGTGCACTAGAAAATTCTAAAAGCAAATTATTTATGGTTCAAAAGCACATTAGATCAATTAGTCGTCCTATAAAATAAAGCTTTTGTGCTTTTAATATGCTATTTGGAATTTATAACTATTTTGAATTTGTGCACTGCTAATTTAAGTTTTATTCATCGATACTCAACTTCCTCTGCTGAATATGAAAATGACCCAAAATGTCAATATTTCGAACAACCACAGTTTTGTAAATTTAAAAGTGTTAGGGTACTAATTTTATTAAAGTTCGAAAAGATAATCCGACATTCAGAAATTATGCAACAATTTGTACAACAAATGTGAAAGTTTTTTCTGTAATTTAGGTTAAATTACGTGATTACTTATAAACAAAAAGTACTTGACATGTAAATAAAAACCAAAATGATTCAACACGCGCCATTTTCTTAGGAGAAAAGTTGCGAAGTTTCTAGTTAATTCTCAGCTGTCTGGTTTCTTAATGTATCTAGAGCCTTGCAACTTTGGTAAGGTAGATGAAGTTTGTGTTGCCATAAATTTTGTCAAGATCTCCTAAATAATGTCAAGTTGGTGATGGTCTCACTATTAATGAGAAAGCTTTTCCGTTTTCTGTAAATTGTAGTAGTGTGCTCTCGAAGCATGTAAATTTTCCAAGTTAAAATGTAGATTTTTAGGGCATGGTGTTGGGCTTACAGATTTGTTTTCTTTTTGTCCAAAACTATAAGGAGACACATATTTTTATTAAAAAGGCAGTTTTTATGTTACGCAAAGTTATTGGCAATTTTATTTAAAAATTCAATATTTTTTAAATCGTTTTTATAACTAAAACACACAGTCAATATTTTTTGAAGATTAAAATTTGTTTTTTTCAGTGTTATAGAAAAGTTTTCTTCATTAACAGAGAACACAACAATGACTTTATGACACATTGGATCGAAAATTATAAAAGTGTTCTGTTAAATTATTAATTGCACTGTGTAAAAATATCGCATAGAGTGCATTTTTTTTAATAAAATGGTAATAAAAGATGTATAAAAACAAAACAGTGCTTTTAACCAGTCTTAGATTTTTATTTAAATAAAAATATTAAAGCATATCAATTTTAAAAGAAGGTATTTCGAAATTTCAGAAGAATATTTAAAATGAATATACATCGATTACCAAGAAACGAAAGTTTCAGAATATACCCTGCTGTTCAGTTTTTCATTTATTCAAATAATGAATGTTCGAGTTTTCATTTCCAAATATATTTGTAAAAGTGCAGTAAATACCTTAAGTAATCCTACAACTATATTTCTCAATATTATTCAACTATTTACATCATACCCTTATTTGAATTCGAAGAAAGATTTTGCAAGATGCCATTTTCTTCTCAAAAGTTTCAGTGGTTAATAATATTGCAAACGCATTTATGAAAATTTGCATGCGATGAAAAGAATAGATTTGAATTTCGTTTGTAAACTACAAAGTGGCACTGGTATTTCGAAGATTTCTTCCGTTCTGAAATGAACAATAACAATTCTTTCTGATTATTTGTCTAAGAATTATTGTTCAGTAAATTCGATACTTTAGTTACACTGTCTGAAATTTCTCTGTAAAAATGGTTAAATAGCAATTTCTTTAATCGTTATTTTATCATATTCAACCAAAACTGTCAAAAAACCACAAAAAAGATGATATTCAAACTTGTAAGTGTCAGAAAAAACGTTTATTTATTGTTTTAGTCTAATACAGATAACAACCAGAATTCTAACCTTGCCAACTAGGCCCATCTTATGAAGCCATTCTGTTTCGTGCAGTTGAGTACATACTGTAGCTGAGAAGGAAAATTGGTTAATTTCATGACCGGCAGTACAGGGGTTCTAATCAAAATTTGACACTACAATATTTCCCCCATTTCTTCAATACATGAAGAGTTTCCAATGTCCCGCACTCTTCAATCGGTGACCCTGGACTATTAGAATACGAAACTATCATTAACGCATAAATGGCGCATCACCAACAAAGCTCCAATGCCCTTTTAACATTAATTTTTATGGTTTAGAAACTATGCTAGTTGTAAATAGTTACAAAACCGTATAGTTTTTAATTCAGTGCTTTTTGTCCGCACCATTGTAAACGGTTTTAAAACCATAAAGGTAAAAAAATGTTCCTAACCGTAAACTTTAAAGTTAATCTGATGGACAGACTGCTGCCGGCCATTTAACCGTATTTTCAGAATGGAAATTCTAACAGCGGACTAATGACATCAAATTCATTAAAATTTTTCTTGTTTCACGGATTTTGAACCATTGTTGGATTTTTTTTTGGCAATTAAATCTGCAACATCTCTGAATGTTTGAGATTTTGAATTTGCGTTAAGTATTAACGATTAAAAAATATTTGTTTTAGAATTGTTCCAGTTGTACACATGAACGAATTTTTTTTATAACCATGATTTTTATAATTAATTATTTAAAAAATTCTACAAATGAGAGAAAATGTGTCAGTAAAACACTGGATGCCATTTACACGTTAAACTTTTGCACACGTATCCTTATTCTGTATACTTTATCATCAAATAAGTACGAGTGCAACCCCTAAAAATGACTTTGTGAATGTTTATGAATTCTAGGAAAAAGTGTACACTGTTAAAAAATTCCTGATGAATTACAGTAAAAAGTTTCGAAACTCAGCATGCCAGTAACCTATCTATTAAATCCAATTTACCGTAAAAGTTTACGGAGCAAAAAATCCGATATACTGTAGTTTTTACTGTAATGTTTACAGAATCACTATAATTAAGTAAATATTACACCGGAAATTACTGTATATATTTTTTCAGTAACAATGGATTTTACGGTGAAACATGATGGCATCCTCTGTGCAGGTACTTTTTACCATAATTTTATCAAGAATTTTTTACTGATTAGGCAAAGTTGATCAAAGCATTTGGGTAAATGAGGTTTTAGTATTTTTTCTCTGCAGAAAATCGCACACGAAGTTAATTTTTTTCCTGTAATAAAATACATTATGTATAAATTATGAACCAATGTTTAAATTGAGTTTAAAACCTTTATTTTAATTTAAAAATAAATAAAAGGAACATCAGTTAGAAATGAAGGCATTCTGCAATTTTGCAATTAAATGAATTATATTTATTTTAAAGAATCACTAATTTTAGAATCAATGTATACAGTTTTTTATTTATTCAACTGATGAATTTAGTAGTTTCTATTTCGAAATATATATTTGTAAAAGGACCGAAAACAGTCTAATACAGCATTTATACTTCTCAACTTTATTCAGCTATTTACTTCTTACATTATTTGAATCTGAAGAGGATTTTGTAAAACGCAATTTTTCTTTTCACAAGTTCCCCCGGTTGCAAATGTATCGATGGGGATTTGCATACGATGAAAGGACTAGTTTCAAATTTCGTTAGATAACTGCAAAATAGCTCTTGCACTTTAAATACTTCTTTCTTTCTAACAAAAGCAACAATAATTCTTCCAGATTATTTTTCAAAGAATTACTATTTGGTAAATAGGATTCATTAACTAGTTTACATGTAAAATTCATTCAATGCTTCTTATTTTATTAATTTCGAATCAACATTGCATATTTTTAGAAAATAAAATTAAAATATCTTAGTATTTTAATTTTATTTTATGTTTGCATCTTTTAATAGCTTTAAATTTCAGATAAATACTTAATTCCAATAAAAATATTTATTTTCTCTTTTGCGTATGTAACTGACTTTTGTTTTTGAAAACACCATTCTTAACTATTCAAATTCATTTTACTGAATACATTTTTCTCACTCATATAAACTTTGTTTTGAGATCCAACGTTTTCTCATTGATTGAAATGTTGTTTCTTAATGAACAAATTTCTTAGATTAAAGTCCTCCATGATTTTCTCCCAAATTTCTCTTAAGACTTGATCCAAGAGTTCCCTTGTCTTCTGAATCGGGTTCAAAATTATAAGGCCATGGAGTTTAACATCACTATTTTGAGTCGTAAACTCAAAATAGGGTCGGCTCTTCAACAATGACCGTAAAGTAAACGAATATATAGTTATATATTTAAGAAAAATATTCAATGTTCGATATTCTTAAACTGCAGCCTTTAGATACTATCAGAAAAAAGTGCTGATACCAACTGATACTATCAATAAGAAGTATTGCTGAAATCTAAAGAGATTGTCAGTGCTTCGATAATATCGGTACTTCAATCGTATCGAAACCTTTTCAATGCACACGAGATATCTTTTTAAAGGCTCTATTTTAAACCAAGCATTTTTATTAATTTGCAAAGGAATATCTTCAATCATGAGAAATATAAATATTAATGATAATAACGTAAGTAAAAATAATGTGAAAAGTAAATGAATGAAATGATGCCAGAAAAGAAACGAATCAGTGAACCAGTTTGCTAATTAAATGACAAATTTTTAAAACCCATATTCTGCAGTACCGTATTTGACTATTACAGTTTTTTCAACTCTTCTCTATCTTTTCTTTATTTAACTTGGTGCTAAGTGCAGCAGTATTATATGCATATAAAATTAACTCCTTCAAAAGGTCAGAATGTGCCCATGGAGGTCACAGTTTCAATTGAAGCTATACTAATAATCCTGACTAATAATTAATTGCATCTATTAGAATGATGTTTCAGTATAAAGAGATGAATTTGTATGCTTACTTTGATCATGATGCGAGGAATAGCTTTCGAGAACTCTGGATACAAGATCTACTTTTTGGACAAGCGAATCGAACAGATGAAGGGGCAGAGTAACAGCGACATCCTGGTAAGGAACACTCGAACAGTCTCCAGCACCATAAACGTTTGCAGCTTCAATGCTGTCCAATAACTTCTCCAGAAAAGATTCTTCACTCTCATCCATCACCTAGAAATAAAACAATAAATAAATTGAATTCCTCAATGATAATATACCATGTAAAAATAATTTCTCCAATAATTTAAAAATGAAATTACATGCCGTAGACTAATTGAAAAATCTAGTTCTTAGTAGATGTCGCCTGATGAGTAATTGGAGAACTATGAAGTAATTGGAAAACAATAAATAAATCGAATTCCTCAATGATAATATACCGTGTGAAAATAATTTCTCCCATAAAAAATAATTTCTCCAATAATTATAAAGTTAATTAACATGCCATAGGCCAATAGAAAAATTTGGTTCGTTGTAGATGTTGCCTGATGAGTAATTGGAAAACAATAAATAAATTGAATTCCTCAATGATAATATAACCTTGAAAAATAATTTCTCCAATAATTAAAAAATTAAATTATATGCCATTGGCTAATTGAAAAATCTGTTTTTTAGTAGATGCCGCCGGAGGAGTAATTGGAAAATTCTTCAGTATTTTCTAATTTAGATGAAATTTTTAAAGTTTATTGCAATAAGCCTAAATGCCTTAAAGTTTATTACAAAATGCATGAGGGATTACTCAATCAGATTGAATTTCTTTTAATGACAATCACAATAAACTTTGCAATAAGCACTTACTACTGAATGCTTATTACAAACTGAAAGAAAATAATCTAGTAATTGAATAATAAATCATAAATTTTTCAATTTTCCTAAAAAGGATAGCAGTGGCTCAGGAAATAGAGTACTTGCCTCCCAATGACATGAATAAGGTTCAGCGATACGGATTCTACTTGCGGCTCGCACCGAACACAATGTTGGCATAAAATATCGTCATTGATAAAGGAATCATGGGTTCAAATCCCTTTGCTACCGGCCCAACTATGGGTGGTTTTCGTGCTTTTCCTCTCCGTTTAACGAAAATACAGTCCCACCAAAAAGTTCTGCACGAAGACTGGTTTTTCTCAATATTTGATCAAAAGGTTCCTTTGTCTTCTGTGTTAGATTCAAATCCAATAAGTTTCAGAGTTGAAAATTGATAGCCGTAAGCTCACAAGAGGGTTAGCTGTTTAAAGCTAGTTATAAAAAAATTGCCTTAAAGTATGACAGATCATTGCAATTAACCAAAACACTGTTTAGCTAATTAGAAAAAGCTGCAAATTTTTCCAATTAGTTTGGCGCATTGCAAAATAGCTGTTCTTGTTAGAGAAGTACCAATTAACTTAAGATGTGAATATCGTAGAATCAAATAAAATCTAGATTTCCATCCAGTAATTAGAAAATCAGCATTAAAAATAACCAGCAATTAAAAAAATCAAAGCAAAAAGAAAAAAAAACAATAGAGACAGAAATAGACAGTTTTCTGCGTTTTGTTTTGAAAACCAGAAAACTTATAATCAGAAAATCTCAATATTAGTTATCTAGTTCATTGACAGATAGAGCTGCTGACTGAATTAACAAAACCCTTTAGTGCATGTTGGAAAGTCGTGTGGAAAAAGTTTGTGAAAAGTAAATTTTAATTAATGGCAGGATATTAATCGAAGTTATTTACTTTCAAAAGTTATCTTCCTACCTCACAAATCTCAAACGATTTGCCTACAAACCCTGTACATTAAAAAGAAATTTTAATAATAATAAACGAAAAAATTCAGGTTTTTCAAAATAATTTCTTGCACCAAAAATAAAGGATGGTATTAAATAAAAATATTTCACGAATAAATAAGTTTTATAAAATGCTTAACCGAACAATAATTAAAGCATCAAACAAAAAGTCTATATCAAAATTGATTTCCTTCTGCGTAACAAAAACAGATGTAAATTTGCGAGCATAAAACAGAGAGAGAGAGGCTTTTATTTTGTAATAAAAAGGGGATTTAATCACATATTCCTGAGAATCTTTGATAAAACGCTGATTACGCTTTTTTTTCCTTAGTTATGTAACGAGGTATTGTACCAAGATCGTAAAAATGGATGGTGGAATCTTATCTATTTGGGGTATTCAGATGTAAAAAGAGAATAGTTTCGATGAAGAAAATGGATCCCTGATGTTGCAAAAGAACAAAAAGAAAAACTTATGGATGCAAGTATCAGCATTGAGAAGCTGTTAAGGGTTTTGATAAAGAGAGTGTATTAAGAGTAGCACATTCTCAATATTTATAAGTAATGAGAAATCAATATTAATATAGAGACGATCAGGATTTTCTTAGTAAATAGTACGACACCAAGGGTATTAATAACACAAGGAAACAATTTTTATTGTTGTATTTATACAAATACTTCATTCTGCCTAATTCGGGTGTGAGATTTCAAATCCAAAATTAGTTTTGTTCCAAAAGCAACAGAGTTTTGTTCCATGATATTTGTCGTCTTTTTTTGTGGAAATGTACAAGTTTAAAAATGTTATATGAAACAAAGGGTCGCTTAAATGTTGCGACGAACTTTTAGGGGAGTTAGGGCATACCATTATAATTAAAATTTCATAGGAACCCATACCCTGAAATATCATTGTATGCGGCTGAAGATGCTTGTCCACTGATCAGAAGCGCAGGAAGAAATAGTTCATAATAAGAAAGTACTCCTAGTGGCGTATGACGACAGTTCTGAACATTTGTTCTTATGCAGTTTTAATCCTGATGATGTGTCCTTTCTCCCCTAGAAGTTTATCGTAGCATTTACGAGACACCCCTAACATATATATATATATATA